TATATATATGTATGTATGTGTATGTGTGTGTGTGTATATATATATGTAATATGTATGTATGTATGTATGTATATATATATATATATGTGTATGTGTATATATATATATATATATGAGTTCTTATAATTAGTTACTTATTCCACTAGTCTTTTCATTTGTCTTTTTGGCACAAGCATAAATGAATGTTGTAGCACTCTGGCTAAACTGAGACCAGCTTTATCACTTTGTTTCTGAAAGGTCAAGGTTTGTCTTTAGACTCAAGAAGCTGTTTGTATTTCCAGCTAGCTTAATCTAAAAAATTTCCAATCAAAACTGGTCTGACAAATGAAAAAATTCAATGTAATCTAAATCTGTGTTGAATTTGTTCTATTAAAGGCCAAAATCATCAAACATTAACATTTGTAATGCTTTCTTCCCTGCAGCTTGGCGATTGGTTCAGTGGAAGGTCATGCTCAGCAGTGCCCTGACCTGTGTCTGATATGGGTGGACGCTCACCCAGATATCAACACTCCTCTGACTTCACCTTCTGGAAACCTCCATGGCCAGTCTGTAGCATTCTTACTCAAGGACCTGCAGAACAAGGTAATTAGCATTCATGCACAAAATTACGTCAACAGTTAAAAGAAATGTTATATCATAGAATTTCTGACATGTTTCCTTTCTCAAAGGAGGTAACGCTTGTACATTAATTTTCCACTTACAAGTAATTTGGCTCCAGAAAACCATTTAGAATGTCTAAATCCATTATCTTCTGCTTTCTTACCTGCAGATGCCAGAAGTTCCTGGATTTTCCTGGATGAAGCCCTTCCTGTCTGCCAGAGATCTGGTCTACATCGGCCTCAGAGATGTGGATCCAGGCGAGCAGTAAGCACACCATGTTCTGTCATCCAGGATTTAGCACCTGTTGCCTGTTCTCTAAAGCCTATGCTACAAAATCACCAATTGTGACAATCCATAGGATATTTATACAAGTGACATTACCTGTAACCACCAAGAGGGCACAAAATCAAATGTTTATGATTAAGTCAACACGAGACTGTGACTAAATCGGACACAATTCAGTGGTGAATCCACTATAATGCATAAACTATGTGTGTGTAATGCATATATTAAGAGAAAGAGAAAACCGCATCACTAATTTATTTTACTAACCAATTTTGATTTTATTGCTCTCTCTCTCTCAGCATAATCCTGAAGACCTTGGGAATCCAATATTTCTCCATGCGGGATATTGACAGAATGGGCATTCAGAGGGTAATGGAGGTCACTTTGGATCACCTCTTGGCAAGGTATAGTGATATTGCGAAAAACATACACACTTATTTAAACTAGTAGTGGTGCTTCTGTAAACAACTAGCAGCAAATTGCATGTTGCTGTTTATTCTCCATGTAGTCCTCCTGTGTGCTATTGAACTCTGTAAATGGGGCAGTGTAGTTTTCTGGAGAGCTCACAAGCGGCCTTATTTAACCTGACTTGCGTGTTTAATGTCACCTTTAAATACAATGTAGCACTTAATCTGTTTAATCTGTGTACACTACATCACAATCAAACAATTTATGTAATTTGTCACTGTTATTTTTTATTTTTTATATCAGGAAACAAAGGCCAATCCATCTCAGCTTTGACATCGATGCATTTGACCCATCCCTGGCTCCCGCCACTGGAACTCCCGTTAATGGAGGACTGACCTATAGAGAGGGCATCTACGTAACAGAGGAGATCCATAACACAGGTACAGATCTACCATTCACATAACGGATGACTTTGAAATCAAATAAATCCTTTGCTAATATGTTTTGTTCCGTACTACACAGGTTTACTCTCTGTGATGGATGTGGTTGAAGTGAACCCCACACTAGGAGCGACACCTGAGGCTGTGGAGGCCACAACTAGCCTAGCCGTTGATGTCATCGCATCTGCTCTCGGTCAGACACGTGAAGGTGCACACATCGCCTTCCCAAAGATTCCAGAACCAAAAGAGGACACCGAGCTGCGGCTTTAGAGCACAAGATATTCATGGAGGACTTTGACAAACCAACCACTTTGCATTCCAAAGTCTAAAAGAACGACACTGAAGGGTTTGCAGAGATGGAGCACCAGACTAAAGATAGAATTTGAAGGTTACTGTAGTCTTGGTCAACAAAATTGTCACCTCACTGGTGAAGTGCTGCTATAAGCACATGGGTGAGATTTATTTTATTATACCTACCACTAATTTTGCTTTGGCTAAAAAAGAGCTGAGATCTGGATTCTCTATGTTTGAGGACTAATATAGCAGAAACAAAAGTATTTTTTAACATTTGTCAGCTGTTAAGGGATTAGTGGGTAACCCTGATTATTCTCTGGGATTTACTGCGGGAAAAAGTGAACTAAAAGCAAATGTGCTTAACATATTTTTGCAAGCTGAGATGACTCTTTACTGTGGTGGACTGATTGATTTTCCTTTAATTTTGAACATGTTTGCACTTTTGGACCAGAACTGTTTTTTATTGTATTTCTATGTTTGTTTGTTTTTGTATAGTAGGACTGCTTTTAATGGCTAATTTAATCCTACAGTTTTGGTTGGGTTGAAACTGAGTGATCTTTTTTGAATAGCGCATTTAAAGTAAGTTATTTTAGTAATTTTCATATCTATTTAAATAGACCTTTGAAAAATCATGTATGAATGGATTTTGAACACCCTTTCAGATCTGAATTTACCACCAGTACCAGTATCTTTTTAGGGAAGGGTAGTTTGATTTGTCACATTTTTCTGTTTCAGTAAAAATGTTTTGTTGCAATAAACAAATGTACTGGAGACGGACTGTGACTCATCTTTGATTCATTAGGTTGACTGATGACCACATCAAATGAAAATCTTCATGAATAATCTTGAACCTAAAATAATATTTCATTATAATCCAGAACTTCTTTTTTGTTTGTTTCTGTCAAGTGGATATAAACTATCTAATATTTATATGAAAATAAAAAAGATTCAATAACTGAGACACATGGAACACGTTTCACAGACATCTGATGAACCATATCAAAAGTAGCAGTCAGTATGTGGTGTGTCCACCAGCTGCTTTATGTACAGTGGAGATCAAAATTAGAGAACAATTTAAAAAGACTTGATTTTTTTCAGAAATAGAGTAAAGTGTAAAATTCATTCAAAATTGGAAGGAATTTTAGTTGTGGCTACACCATGCTAGTAGAACAGTGTTTTACAAAATAACCAAGGCATTTCAACAAAAACCCTACACCACTGAGAACAGTAACCACTAGCATGCAGAAAGATTACAACTAACATTTCTGAAGGTTACAGCAGTCAAAAATTAGGAAGTGTAGAGGCCCTTGCGTTGAATGACTTCAGCACATCTGTGGCCGCAGGACATAGCTAGTTTCTCACACTGTGCTGGTGTGATCTTGGTCCACTCTTCTTCCAATCTCTTCCAGAGTGTGGTGACTTTAGTGGGTTTCTTAGCCATAACTTTGTCACCAAGGATTTTCAGGTGGGTTTAGATCAGGACTCTGGGCTGCCCATTTCATTATTTCAAAGTTTTCAGCTTCAAAGAACTGCTTTACCCATTTTGCTGTGTGACGGAGCACTGTCCTGCATGAAAATTGCAGGCTGATTGGGTCACCAACGCAGAGAAGGAACTGCATGTTGCCACAGGGGGTTATGATAAACATTTGCATTCTCTCTGCCAAAATCCTGCTGCAGAAAACATCCCCCAAACCGTGACACTTCCTCCTCCACCTTTCACTGACTTCTTTACACACTTTGGGTTCAGTTTTTCCCCAGTTTGACACCGAACATAATGTTTCTAATCGGACCCAAATAAATAAACTTGCTTTCATCACTGAAGTGAACTTTGGACTAAGTTCTCCTCTGTCCACACAGCATGCTCCTCAGCAAAGGTTAGTCTAGCCTTTTGATTCTTTCTGCTGAAGAAAAGTTTGGTCACTGCAGAGTGGGCTTTCAGTCCAAATTCTCTTGAGACACTGTATGCCGAGAGAGATCCTTACCCTGTTCAGCGCTGAACAGGCAAGCCATTACAGCTTTAGTGTCGAACCGATTCCCCATTGAGATTTTCCACATTATCCTGTCCTCTCGTGCATTTGTCTTTCGTGGACTACCTGCCTTTTTGAAGGACTTAAATGAGTTAGTGACATTGTAAAGATGCAATATTTGAGAAATCACAGATTTGGAATGACCAACTTTTCTTGCTATGGCTGCTGTTGGCCTTCATCTGGACAACCTGCTACAGAAGGGTTTGAGTCACTTTAGAATGGCTCACCATCTTGCAAAGTCAGTAAAAACTGGAAAGTTAGGCTGCCAGTTAAATAGGGTTTGTCAGATGATTAAGGACATTTGCACAAGGTGCCAGATTAACACCAATAACTGGAAGGTATCTGAAAGTGTTCTCCAAGTTTGATGAGTGTTCTTTTTCAAATATCTCAAATACGTTTTCTATACTGTGCTTCAGAATATATTTTACTCTTGTTAGGATAACCTCCAATAAAACTAAACAGTGACCTTGTAATTTAGGAAATTGTAGGTTGTTCTCTAATACTTATTCTCCACTGTACTACAGAAAATCTCATCTTAATGGACTGAAAAAGATTTGCCCGTTCTTGCTGAGATGTTACTTCACTCTTTCACCAAGGCACTTGCAAGTTCTCGAACACATCTGGGGATACATATGGTCACATGTGGTCTGGCATTACAAGGACAATCAGCTAAGTTGTCCTAAGTTATTGGAACTGTGGCATTAATTTTCTTCCGCCTGTAAACTGTTAAGTGTCTTAAAGACTGTTCCACAGGTGCATGTGCAATAATTGTTTATGGTTCATCAAAAAAAAAGTGAAAACCATAAGCTTATTTGAATTTTCATTCAGAAAAAGGGACGTTTCTTTTTTGCTGAGTTTCTAAGGACACTTATCTCCTAATAGGCCCCTAGGGATTCTGGGCCCCTTGTATAAGTCACTGCTTCAGTCTTCAGTTGAAATCGCATTCCTGGCCCCCAATACCCTAGGCCTGTAACTATGTTCCACCATTAATCCCTGCAGACAGGTTTAAGGAACATAATAAAATTAAAGAAACTCTTTAAATTTAGTTTCTCCATTATATCTCAGTTTAGAATGACAAGTTGTTTGGTTATTTTTTGGTGGATGCTAAAAAATGCTAAAAATTAAAACTTTAAGTTTGATCAGCAGTTCTTAAACAGTTAGGCTAAGTAATCATTCATTACTATTTAATAAAAAGTATTTACATTAAAACAAAGTATTTAGCAATTTTCACATTTAATTAATCATTTAATTTGGTAATTTTATGACAAAACGAGCATTTAGATTAGAGATCAATCTTAATTTAATACTTACTTCATTGGAAGGCTATTCAGACACCTATAAAACAATGTGGATTTTTTCATTTTAGACACACCTAGGTTTACTCATTTGATTAGTAAACTAATTTATTGCTATTACTGAAGTTTAATTGCTCAAATCATTCAACCTAAATATTAGTAACAGCAATGTTCACTTGTAATTTATTAGTAAGTGACACTAATAAATAACAAATAAATTAATAACTCAGTCAACAACTGATGCTACTCCCCACATATCAAATGTGATGGGGATTATAAACAATGTGTAACAGGTGAATGACCTGCTCACACCTCAGATCAATGACAAACACACAACTGTGAATGACTGCTCTCCACTGATACTTCTGCTGTTTTGCCCTAACACGACTAGAAATGCCATCAGTCAGCTGGCAAAAAGTCAGTATGTCAAGGTGACCCGATAGCACTGGACACTGGTATTTCCACTAAAGCAGGTGTTGGTGTCACTTTATTCTCAGTCATGTTTACAGTAATCTCTACCCCCTCTCTGACAGGCTAAACACACCCCTTTCTCTTCCAACCAGGGCTTGTAAAGCAAGTGACATGCATGTTTATAGCTGTCATTCTCTCGGCCTGGAGTACACTCAGCTCTGTTTTGACTGATTGGAGGAAAAGCTAAAGGAAAGCACACCCATTTTCTAGAATGAAACCCAAGAGCTGTAACCTTAAATGCCATGTTAACACTTGTCACAAAAAAAAGTCTATTACACAATGTAATTTTATCAAGATCATTTAGTTAAAAGTTCACTTAAAGGGACAGTTCACTCAGAAATGAAAAATCGGTCATGATTTACTCACCCCCATGTCATTCCCAGCCTGTGAGAAAAGAAGACATTTTGAAGAATTAATTTTTGTTCATACAATGAAAGTCAGCGGGGTCCAGTGCTGTTTTGGACCTCATTGACTTTCACTGTATGAACAATGAAAGGTTTGGAATGGAATTAGTGTGAGTAAATGATGACAGAATTATAATTTTTAAGCGATCCATTACTTTAAAACGATTGAGGTGTGTAAAAATGCAGACAGGTTGCATATATATTATTTGTCACTCCTTTCGCTGGATCCTTCTGTTTACACTGTCCATCCATACATCCACTAGATATGGCACCTTGTTCAAGACAGCTAAAAATGGGGTAAACCCATCACGCCATCTTTGTACAGATCCTTATCCTCCAGCAGTCTGAATGTGACATGGTCACCATCTTCTTTTCACCCTGAGAGCAGTACTTACGCTAATACAGTTTAGCGCTTAAAATAACCACCCATACACGTCCATGTGACACTCACAGTCTCAAAAGCATCCAGCACACTGTCATTGGGCCAGACACCCGTGATCATCAGAAATAAGAAGAGGGAAAGGTGAAGTCTTATACAGTCTTGCGTGTCTCATTGCCTACTTGCGGAAGAACTTCAAGTAAACCACCCCTGCCAAGATGGCCAGCTCCATGATGATAATGACTGATAGTAGCAGTTTGTTCGTCACCAGTCTGTAATGACAGGAAAGGAAGAGGTTTGACACAGTATATTCTCAGAAAGAGATTTGGAAACAATTATAGTGACGTGAAATGTTTCGTAATAGTGTAAGTCTCACCGCCTGGACATTGCGCGCAGGATTTTCCTGCTGCGGCTCAGGTTCTCGCCAGTGTGAACCAACTGATGATGGAGTAAGAGAAGAGAAATTGGGAGGGTAAGAGCAGAGAAAGAGAAGAAGAACATTTTGCTTGTGCAGTTTATTATCTGCTTGTTCAACAACAATAACAATGGGCGCTGGTCTAGATAGCTCTCCCTTACTCTGTCTCTGGTGCGGTCCAGTTGTTCTCTCTGTTCTCCGAGCTCCTCGATGATGTCTGTGCCAATCTGGTCTGTCTCTGCCGCAATCCGTTGACTTCGCTCAATACTCTTTGACGCATTATTTAGAGACTCTGTCCCCTGGATAAGCAAAGCACGCTGAGACTGCAGATGAGTCTGCAAAAACAACAATTCAAAAATTAGTCACTGTTTAACTAAGACCTGCAGCATACTCAGTTATAATACCAGTGTAAACCATATTCACTCATACTTACTGACATGAAATACAGACATTACTTCAACAGAGCACAATTTTCAGTTTTTTGTTCAAATTTTTTATTGATTGGAATGTGAAATTCATAATCATAACAGTCAAACAATTTAGTCAGCAGGCAAGGGAGTGAAAATATGTTATGAAGCGTTGGCATTTATTATGGAAAGAAGAACCAGAGCTGCACTACCAGGAACATCTTATCTTTTCCAGCTTCAGAAAAGAC